AGGTACGTCATGCCACCGCACGCCTCATCGTCCATCACGCTTCCTCACGAACCTTCCCCCTCCGTCGTCAGCCCGATCCACCAGAAGATCAAGGAGAAGATCGTGGCCTCGACCGAGCAAGACACGGTGCACATCTTCCGCACGCTGCACAACACGGCGCGCGTGTACAAGAACGCGGTCGCGCAGCAGGTCGTCGCGCTCGAGCGCCGCCCGGGCGGCGCGAAGTTCGAGGACGTGCGCGAGCTCGTCTCGGGCCAGCGCGGGCGGCTCGTGTACGAGATCGGGGACGCCGACTACGGCATCTGGACCGCGGGGATCGTCATGGGCCTGATCAAGGACATCCCGACGTGCGAGGAGCTCCTGAAGCGGATCGAGCGCGAGACGGAGGAGGCCATCGAGGGGCTTGCGAAGCTCCGGGTTCCTGAGGCGAAGGCGAAACTGTAGGGATCGGCGAATGACGTGATGTTGGTAGCTTCGGACAAACTCTTTGTGCTTCCTTGATACAGGCTAGAATAGGAACAGCCTTGCGTTGACTGTCTTGGAGTGGCTTGGCAGCCACGGGAACATAGTCAGCTATCGTGTGCACGAGAAGCTGGGTTCTGCCATTGGAGATGGTGATGACATGTCTGCAACATGAGCGACTGTACTCTCCTGACTCTCGCTCTGTGACATATCTGCATCTTACGCTGATAAACGATGCGCTGTAGGAGTCACTTTGGCCGAGTTTGCGCGTGTGCCACCGGCGGTATGCCACTTTGAACATCGTGACGCATTGCCAGATTCGTCGGACAATGGTCTGCCTTTTTGCGCAGTGAGCACTCCGCCACAGGTCTGTGGTCTTGTCTCTCCGCCCGGGTGATACATTTGATGACGTTGCTTTGTGGACCGCGCGGAGTGGCTCAAGACATGACAAGACGTACGGCCCCTTCGCCGTGGACATGTGGACCCGTCGCGGACGCTGCGATGCGTCCATCCTCCCGGAACCGCACTTCGAAGCAGATCGACAGAATCAGCGAACAAAAGCGAATCGCAAGATCACACGAACGCAGATCTGTCCAAAGTGCGCATCAATTATCATCTCGACGAGACATGAGAGTATTCGTATGTGATACAGTACATGATGCAACATCCCCTTGCGGTGCGTCCACAGGGGAAATCTATCCCATCAGCAGTCAGCGATACAGTTCCACCGGCGCAGGCGGTTACAACCCGCGCGCGGCGTAGTGATACAGTATAAGGATACAGCCATATAACCCATGATGATGATGAATGACTAAAACAAACCACCGGGCATTCGTATGAACAGAAGAAATAAAGACAGAAAAACGTTGTGCAGGGGAAAAGAAATGCGATGACAGCGCGGAGAGCAATCGATACAGCGTGTGGTATGTAGGGAGACAGTGGAGGGTATGCTGCGAGCGGAGCGTCCATGCTGGTCGTCTATCGGGCGTAGGACAGCGTCCGGCGTGAGCGTAAGGTCGTGACCGTCGTCCAAGCGGGAATCGAGAACCGTCAGTGATAGGAGGAGATGTGGGAGTAGTATGTGCATCGCGGTGAAGGGAGGTGAAGCATTCGTTACGTTCACGCTGACATCTCCGAGCCCGACATGTCGGACGACGAAGAATCGCGGCGTTGCGGGAATGAAGAATTCGTGGGTGTCGCATAGGAGTTGGAGGGCGTCGAAGGGTTACGCGGGACGAAACGGTACGGGTGAACAGCCGCCCTCAGCCGGGCGCGGTTCTGAGGATCGCGAAGCTCGCGCGCGAGAGGCCCAACGACAAGGTACGCCTTGCCGCCCTTGTGCTGCTTGAGCTTCTCAGGAATAGGCCTGTTGTTCTCGTCAACGGCATCCGCGGGGAGGGGTAGGACGAGCATTGCATCTGCATCCTCGTACTTGTCCGAGAGAACGACACGGTATTTCTCCCCGGCGAGGTACGGATGGTGTCTGCGCACGGTGCGAGTGATGGATTGACGGCGGGCGGACCAGGCCTCAGTGGGCGAGGAGGCGCGCGAGGAAGAAGTACACGAGGAAGTCACAGAGGAGACGGAGGATTGGCGAGCGCGCGGCCAGCTCTGATTGAATTCGAGCGGGAGCGGCGGCTGTAAGTATACTGTTAAACGAGTGTCGTTTAGATGACGGAGGTGTGCATACCAGGAGGTCATTAGTATTAGTGTTCGTGAATTGCATGGCGGGAACGTTGACGTTTGTTCGGCGGAGGCGAATGTCGGGCAAGCAAAGCGAGCGCAACGGAGGAAGTGTGGGACGAGAAGCGTTGAGAGCGGGAGAAGAAATCTGAGCGGAGGAGGCCATCTTTATTGTTCGGAGGGAATTGCTGTGAGGGGTTTGGGACCACGCGTTTGGGCGGACGGAGGGCGTCTGAGAGCAATGAAGATGGGATCTGACGGATTGATGATAGATGGGTAACAAGAGAAGGGTCCACCGGGGTACCAATAGGAAGGCTCTGCCTTATGATATATGAAGTCGGGTATAAGTAGTGTTGGGGCAGAGGAATGCAAGAAAGGAAAGTGCGAGGGAGGTCGGGACACGGAGGACTTTGGCCCGCTGTCCAAGGGCCTTTATAGTATGTAGCGCCTATGGTAGGATGGATACGCGGACATTGTCGTCCACGAGGGCAAGTCGATGAATGGGTCAATAAGCATAGCGTACAGTACGCGCTCCTCCCTTTGTCTTCACCTACAGAGTAAGATGAGGTCGCCTCCAGACGGACAATTGCAAGCACTCACACATTGTTTATCTGTGTTTGTCCTTCGCGTCACCTCGCTAAGAGTCCGCCCGCATAGACAAAAGACATTGGGCAGGATCCTATTACGTCCTAAAGCACCTCCCAGAGCGCCGTGCGTGTGTGTGTTGTCTCTAGCAGTGCATGAGATGAGTCGTTTTCCTGGATATATTTTGCGAATGAGGTCAGGAAGGAATGAGCGCCGAACGCCAGACTCAGCCACCGCTCTTCCCACGATGGGCGTTTCCACTCCGTGCACGTGGCATGCATGGGTTCGGCGCTTGTGGAAGAACGCTTTTGTCCTCTGCTGCTCTGTAGACGATCTGCTATGGCGGATGAGACTCCAAAAATCCAGATTGTGCGTCCTTTATTGTCGTACTAATGCTGGTGGAACATGGTCTGAATTGGCTCGCTCAACGTGGTGCTTGGGAATTATCCAGCTGAAGGGTGCCGCCCCCGATTTGTCTGCGGCAACATACCAGATTCATGACGAGTCCCATACTATAGGGAACGCGCTCAGGTGGATGCTAATGAAGAAGTACGTCTCGCATATTTTCATGCATTGGGCATATGCATTGACATAGCGGGGCCAATTGTCCTTGCAGTCCGAAGGTGGAATTCTGCGGATACAGGTACGTACTCCTCTCTGCTTCCTTTTCTCCACCCTCCATTCCACCCCCATGCCAAGCCAATCCTTCTTCCAGAATCTCCCCGTCTCGCCTTTTTTGTTGGACTTGTTGCCTGCTTGCTTTTCAATGGTTCAGAGCGTGGGGGCTTCGATCCCGGCTTTTTGTGCGTGCCCGCCGAGGTTCTACAGGCGCGTCCTGTTATTGTCCGTCCCTGGCGCTGACATTTCATTATCCCATTACGGCCTCCTCGCCTTTCTACTTTCACCCTCTTTCCCCGCCTATTCTTTACCATCCAACAACCCCTCGCCGACGGACACTGACTGAGTCATGACAGTGTGCCCCATCCGTCCGAGAACCATATCAACATGCGTATCCAGATGTATGGTGAGTAATTTCCCTTCTCCCTTCACGATAGAAAGGCGCCGCTGTCATCGCGCGCGGGACGACTTTAGTTGCTACCCGAAAGGCTGCTAGGCCAATCTCAGGCAAACTTCCAGCAGAGAGTCGTCCTGTCCATGTTCCTCAAGGACTGCTTGATCCACCGTGTTTCGCATCTCATATATAAAGAGGTACTGACTGCGAGGCATAGATGGTTTGTCGTCATTAGCGGCCTTGCTGCAAGCGCTCAAGGACCTGGACGACCTCTGCGTGACTATCGACGACGCTTACACTTACAGCCTACGCAACGACAATTACGAGCGGTGGGATGAAAAGAGCTAAATGCAGCTCGGGACACGGTGTGATATTCGCTATGTATCTGCTTACTGTATCGTTATTGTTATAGACATGCTGCACCCATCGCATCCATGACTTGCTGCGCTTCTCTGTCTCATTTCTGATTAACGTTGTGACGCCCAGTGTCGAAGGTGCGGCGAATGTGCTCCACCAGTTCAAGCCTCCTTCTGCGCAAGGGACTGCTCTGGTTCAGTCCGTCACAGCGCTCGACTCGGCTTACGATCCTCCGTCCGTCATCCACCCCTCCCTCTTATGTTCCCCCAACACAATCAAACGGAGTATAGTTGCCGCCAGCATTGTCAGTCGCTGATTCACAATTCGTGAGTCTAGCCGTATGTCCATATGAGACCGAGGACCCAAGGCCGCCAACGGGTGTGCAACTTCTAAGTTGAGCAGACGTATGTGCAGGACCTCCTATCATGCTCGGTTTGCCGAGCTCTCCATCCTGGTGCTTCTCGCGCATCAATACCACATCAACCTTGAACAGCAAGCAGCAGAGTCTTTCAGGGAGCTCTTGACAAACGACTTCGAGAGGTGGGATGCTCTGAGGTTCCCCCCTTCGTGCATGAACCCCGTCGACGTGATCCATGTGGCAAGGCGCATGAATGACATAAGCATGCTCCCTCTTGCGTTGCACGGTGGTGAGTGTTACGGAGACAACATTCTGAGTGACAGGGAACGGGACGATAGGTCGGTCTATGGGAACGCTAGAGATGGACAATCTCAAGCGTTGCCTCCAGTGTCGGGTGATTGTCGAGGCGGGCCGCCTCAATCCTTGGAGAGACACCCTCAACCGATCGTCTCTGTACATACAACGCCCAGCTATGGTCATCGAATCGGAAAAGGCACAGCGTCGCGGCCAGTTGTCGAACGAATGTTTTTGTGTGTTTCATCTTGATGAGGTCGAGGGTCATTGACCTGGCTATTGAGCGATACATGCTCGTCCGGTTATATTCTCCGGTTCGTCAGCCCATCTCACTTTAGTGACATTGATCCGGAGTAGACTCTTGACCCTGTCGTATACTCGTCCTTCTCATTCATGAACCCTCGTATCCGATCGGCATCCTCCTGATCCGCACAATTACTGAGGTTGCGAATCGAGCTTATAGGGTGAGTCGTACCAGATGCGTCACGCTCCATTAAGACAAGCGCTAGCGCGCCATGATGAAGTTGCGGCTACGTTTTGAACACTCCGTTGCAGCCCTCCATACTCTCCACAGACCCATCGCACGCATCAAGCACCTGATAACGTACAGTGTCTCTATTCCACCGGCGAAAGGGCCGAGGTGTTCCATCGTATTGTCGTATCACTCATATGCACTTTCATCGCGGTGTCTCTAATCACGCAGGGCGAAAGGGGATGACATTGGGACGGCGCTGCGAACTGCGCAGGATGATACATCCGATTTGCGTCGCTACCGCTCTCTCTCACGCGACCGGGAGGAGGCTGAGCTCAAGCCGGCGGAGTCGAAGAGACAACCCATAGAACTAGTGTAATGTAAGGAATGGAAGATCTACAATTGTAGAAGTGTGCGTATTAAAAAGGAAATACCAATGCTCGAAGCCTGGAAATTTTCAAGCATGCCGGTGAGGAAGGAGGCGAGGGGGGTCTAACTAATCGTGCCATAGCTTTTGAGCAGGCTGGTGAGGAAGGATGTAGTAAGAAAGCAACATCAGAAGCCAATAGACATAAGCAAATAGAGCAAAGAGCGACGCGCCGCCGGGGACGCGTTGAGCAAGAGAACAGCTTTGCACATCGCGGCGAAAACGCGTTGAGCGCACACGTGCTCCTCACGCGGCTTAGACCCCACTCAACTACCATTGACTGAATCAGTCGACCTTCACAGCGCCTTCGGTCTGCTTCTCCGAATCTCTGGAGTTCGTTGGCTCCTTCGTTTCGGTGTGGAGGCCGTACGTCTCGTCCACCTGCCCCTGCATCGGCACCTCCTTCATCAACCCAACCGAAAGTAGGCCCACACCGCTGATGCCGATCATCGTCTGCCACACGACCTTCAAGCTCGCCGCGAACGCATCGCGCACCTGCGTCCGCAGCGGCTCCTCGAGGCCTCCAATGACGGGGATCGCTGCGTACGCGATCTGCACGCCCGATGGGAACTGGGCATTGAACTGCGGCGGAAGCTTCTTTTCCAGCTGGTTCTGGAGAATCGCAGAGCCGATGGTGATGCCCCACGACTGCGCGAACGTGCGGGAAAACGCGAAGAACGCAAGCGCCGCTGCGTTTCGGGACAGGGGCAGGGGTGCCAGGACAGGAAACACCGAAGCGCCGAACTGTATACGCATAGTCAGTGTCCTGGAGGGAATCCAGGGGGGAGAAGCGTACCAGAAACCCGACCCCAGCAGAAGTGATGACCTGGTATCCTACCCATTTGCCCGTCGAGCTGTCCGCCTTCAGCGTTGATAGCAGGCCGAAACCGATCAATTGAGTACACCAGGCGGTCACGTTTGCCCACCGATACTTCTGAGTGATTTGGACGGATGTGCCAGCGGCGAAGGCGAAGGGACAAACGATGAGGGCCATAGGAAGCGTCTGGACGCTAGAGTGGATGGGAGACGCGCCCTTGCATGCTTGGAAGTAGACGGGGATGTAATCTACAGACGATCCGGAATCAGCATCAGCGTGTAAAGCAGAACCCGCGTGCCTACAGAATTGTGCTAGTGTCGTGATGCCGTGTAAGAACGTGCCGAGATACCTGGAAAGGAACTCAGCAATGTGAAGATGGAATCGACATTCGGCGGTACGTACCCAGACATAGACGTCCTGTTGCCGACAACGTCCCAGGGTATGCTGGCCTCCTTCGGCACGAGCCACTCGTAGACGAAGAACAGGCCGATGAATACGAAGCCAATGATGAGGGTAGCTAGCGTGTGCGCGTCGCTCCATGTGTACGCCACGCCTCCCCACGTCAGCCCAATGAGGGCAAGTGTCGTGCCGATAATTATGATCAGATTACCGCTGCATCAAAAACGATTAGCTAGTATATTTCAGGGGGGGACATGCGGGGCACGTACACGAAATCCAGACGCGCAAGCTTTTCACGCACAGAGCCCGAGGGTGTACGAACTCGGAGGAAGAATAGTACGAAGAAGAATGCGACCCCGGTAAGTGGTAAATTGAGGTCTGCAGGTCGGTCAGCAAAGCACTTATCGGAAGGGTCAGACTCATGTCACTTACAAAAGATCCAACGCCAGGCGTTCGCCTTGGACAGAGCACCACCCTGACAACAGATAACCCAGTCAGCGAAGGTCGCACGCACCACTCGGTTGACTCACGATTGGGGGACCGACACCGGAAGCAAGTGCCCAGACACTCATGAAGATGCCCATAAACATTCCTCGCTCCGCTAGTGGTACGAGGTCGGATATAATGATGTCCGAAAGGTTGAGGATCCCTCCACTGCCTATCCCCTGTACCGCTGCACAACGACGCGTTAGGGTTTACTTTTCTATTGCGCAAAAGAAAACTCACTCCTCCCAGCGATGAGCATGTTCATATTTTGTGCCGCTCCTGAGATCGCGCTCCCGAGCAGGAAGAGGCCAACAGAGGCGAGCATGACTGGACGACGGCCGAAGGCATCTGCCAAGCGGCCGGACAGGGGTAGAATGGCGGCACTTGCAAGACCATAGGCAGCTCCTACCCAGACGAACTTGTCTCCGCCTGCGAGGGAGTCGGTGATGGTCGGGAGGGCGGTGGAGATTGCGCTGATATCAAGTGCACTGACGAACGTGCAAACGAGGATAGCAGTGAAGGAGAACCAGAATGCAGCGCCTTTGCGAAAGCCAGTGTTCTGTGATTGGGTGTTCGCAGTAGCTCCAGAACCGTTTGGTGTGCTGCTCAAAGGCGCTTCCGTTGGGGATGTGGTGGACATGGAGAAGGGCCAAGGCTAGTGGACAACGAGGAAACGGATAGCAGGCCCAAGACGCAATGAACGACTGGCTCTCTGCTGGGTATAAAAGGAGAGCCATCCGTTCGGCTCGATGTGGGTCTGCTAAATCCACGGCGATGTACACCGCTAGACATTGCGCCGAGGGATTCCGGGTGGAGAGCGCGCGGGTGGAAAACCAAGGAACAGCATGTGGATTCCACTGGTTGAGAGTAACGTGGAATCCACAGGTTCTTCCGATGGAGCCTTGAAGCGAGACAACGCTGAACTGCAGAACCGAGTCCTGGAAGCGTAACGGGAAGAGCTGAGCCTTTCAATACCAGATGTATCTTCGGATTCGTGTTGGAGGATAACCCGGGAGCCATAAGCATGATAGGGAAGAGCAATAAAAACCGCGATGCTCATAACACCGGCGCCTGTTGGGAATCGAACCCACGATAGTCAGATTCAATCGTGGACAAAATAGACAATATCTACCGCTTCACCACGACACCTTTCCCTCAAATTAAAAGATGCTGTATTGATGGACGGAGAATTTTATGCATCCCCCACCGGCACCTCCGCAGCTGCTATGAGCCCTACCCACTGCACCTCCGTGGACGCTGCGAACTCATCCACTGGAGCCTCCGCGGACGCTGTTAGCCCTACCCACTGGCACCTCCACGCGGGCCAGCAGGAATCCGTCGGTAGGGCAACGCAGTGGATCCAACCTAGCGAACAGTGTGGGTTCTCGGTGGCGTTCCTCTGGCTCGTCTATGATGGCCTGTCAGTAGGTGATAAGTGGTCTCGACGTCTACTCAGAGGTGTTTTATATATGGAGGCGCAAAGCTGTCGCTGATTCCCCTCCAAACCTCTTCATTACTATGTACGGGTTCCAAGAAACCACACCAGAGCGCCGCCAGATTGCTGACAGCTCATGGTCGCAGGCAGAATTCTCGCAATATGAGAGTAGTAGTGCCTATTTGTGTAACAGTGCAAATCCTATCTTTGCCGGACTTGGAGTTCGCAGCTCGTTTCTATAGTGACATTCCTGTGAACACGACAAGTTGTTACGTAGAGGATGACTGTGATCAAGATATTGATACTCTAAATTGACAGAGCCATACGCTGGCATCCCGATATTGTCCCAGTAAAGGCACTGGGGAGGACAGCAGCACTTAACTGAGGGTAAAGCCCATGCAGTTTTTGGAATCGTCGTGTCGTTGGTTATATCGCAGTGGAAAACAAGAGGTTACACACCCATCAAGCAGTGAAAGACGGTGGAGCGAAGTGAGCCGTATAATAGAGGATGCGCGGGTTCGCAATGAAGTATCAAGTCTGCGTGCATGTTATGAGGCAATGGATTGATTGCATTCAGGACACTTTGGCAAAAGTCACGAGTGTTTGTATTCGAAGGGGGCGAAGGTCGTAGATGTATTTCCGTCAAAGAACGTTACACTGATTCCCATCCTTGTACAGACAAAACATTGCGGGAAGCGCACACCAAACCTTGCGACGCTCTACCTTGTCCCTCCGAATCAGCTCGTCTTTACATGCACCGCACAGGACAGGAGGAAGGGTCGGGGACACTGGAAGTGCAGCAGATGCCAAGTATATGTCACACGAGTCAAGCATAACGGGAGAGCGGCTAGCCAACGATTCCTTCAGGCGATCACGCAGACGTTCCATTCCTTCTTTGCAGCCTCCCGGCCCCCGCAATTTACACGCCCACGCAACCAGGACGGCGAATATGCGGTCAAACATAGACCCATAATCCCTGGAAAGCGCACCATACCCGGCCACGGCGGCCTCGGCGTCCTCCCGCGACAGATACGCTGTCTTACCATCATGTCGCTTCCACCCGTCGAGACTCTTAGGCCTGAGGGTGGCACACAAGTAAAACGCGACCGGGAGCATGGAAGGCTCCTCGACGACTTTGGCCAAGAGGATAATCCCGATGGGGTTGGCGTCGTGGAGGGAGAAAGGAAGTACTCTCGGAACGCAATGGTTCTTCCATTGGACGAACTTGTCGGTGTAGTAGGCTTTCAGGAGGCGAATCGCCTGCTCGAGCACGTCTTCAAGAGTCGTGCCATGGCTTCGAGCTCACTGAATGTGTACTTGTTGATCGGGTAAGTAGACACTTGACAACGATGTCACTACTAATTGACACAAATGGGCACACGGAGCACTCACTGCCTGCGTTCCGTGGGTACGAGAGTCTGTAGCAAAGCCCGCAAGTCTTCGGGAGAGTCCGACAAATGGAGCGCGGGACAACCTTCAACCGTCGCGTCAACGTCAGGATCCGCGGCGGCAAACATATCGCGGAAGACGCCAGACTGCCGGGATAGAAGGCCTTTGTACAAGCGGAACGCAGTCTGGCCTGCGGTGAGGACGATGTTACCGTCCTCGAGCCAGTACTCGGAGTCGCGTTTCGATGTTGGCTCTTGCGGTGAATTTGATGCGGCGTCGCCCGAGGGAGGTGATGAGGTATCAGCAGCTCGTGCCATGGTGCGCGGTGGATGTGGTTCTCTAGAAGGGTGTTACCGGAGTCTGTGCTGTTGCAATATGCTCTCAGCTCATACTATGCAGCGGCTGAGCCTTATCAGACGCGATAGGCGCGTCGTGCCAGAGAGCGCTTGATTATTAGTAGGGAGCCGGCGGGCGCTCTCGCCTACGTAGTTTTCTACAGGGACTCATGTTACGCCGTCCCACCGCCGCTCTCTCGCGCTCGCTCGACCTGGGTCCCTCGCAATCGCGTCCCATCAGCGAGGTTAGCCCGTCGACGAGACTAGGGTTTGAGCACTCATCGATCAACATCCTCGGCATTTCGATCTCGTGTTCCCAACCCCTCCGTAACCGCCCGCACCCTGATCACGTTGGGCCCGTAGTCACACAAGGGGAGCATCTAGGTAATAAGTACTTACCGGACAACATTGCTCGTTCATACTCAAGACACTGATCCACCCCGTCGTATCGTCAGACCTCTCACCTACGCTACCCGATCACGCGCTCCGGTCCTTCATCGAGTCCACCTGGTATGTTTGATTTCGCAAGATCCCATCTCACACATATATCAATGGCCCACCCATTGAAGCAGACTCAGAGTTCACGCCTGTCGATTCCCCTCGCTCTGCGCTCTCTACAGGACGCCCTCTGCCCTTGAGTGCACTTCAAGTCCCGAGTAGCGCCCAAAATTCACTCCGCGCCACATCTTATTCACGTCCCCTCTACTTATACGTATCCGCTTCACCGTCTCCTCCGCCTCTATCGTCCCTGCCCTCGAGCCCACCTCTCGAGTCTGCCTCTGTCCGGCTCGCTCGCCGGGTCAATCTCACGATCCGGCGTATCCTCTACGAGGAAAAGGTGATTTCAGCTGTTCACCAGAGCTAGTAAGTGATCGGTCTTCGCCAGAGCCGTTAGGGCTGCACAGCTGAATTTTCAAGCAGACATGGCACTGTCACTCGTCATCTCAGCCATCGGGACAATCATCACCACCTTGGAAAGGATCCAGACGGTCAGGGACCTGATCGCCGGGAACCCGGCCAGCGCTATCACCCTCAATGACGTTCGGCGGATGATTCGAACGGAGACGGCCAGGTTCTTCGTTACCGTGGAGATAGCCCGCCTCCAGAGCGACCGTCAGACTTTCTACAGCGCGTGGCTTCCGAGCATCACTCGACGGACCACGCTGAATGCGGTTGACGTCTCTCCGTCGGGAGCCCTATATAACGTCTTTCGGGATATCAGGTCCGCGATCCAGCGGGTGAACAGCGGGATCTACGCACTAGCTGCGGTTTTCAACTCGTACTCCGATGCCTTGCACATCGACGACCTAGTCTGCGGTCAGGCGATCCTCATTGAGTTGTTCGGGCTCCTCTTGCACATGCACTCGGCGCACTCGACGCTCAACCAGGCGCGAGTCGGTGCTGCCTCCCTTGACGATCCAAGACTTGACGCGGACACAAGATTGGCTATCTCCTTCGCGCACAATGCGAGCGACATCTTCCTATGGCTTGTCCCGTTGACCTGGGGAAAGCGCAGGGATGAGATCAGCCAAATCAACAGCGAACGCACGTGGATTGACAATGACTCCCGGCCCCCCTATTACTATGTCTACAGCTTCCAGGACAGATACGACGCCTTAGCTGGCACACCCACAGCGAGTCGGCTATCGAAGGAGCCGCGACAGTACCGCCGGTCGACGCTGCAGGATGACAACGCGTACCACTGGACAAGCAACGCACGCGCAAATCACGAACGACGAGTCCGAAACACGTATGCGACAGTGGTCCAAATCGCGGTACACCAGTTCCATCGTGAGCTGGAGCGCTTGCTTCGCATCATGAATAGAAGACTAGCGATACAAACCAGCGGGGGGCGGCCGCCGCAGGGTGCCCAGCCTGGCAGGTTTCCGCAGTGGCGCCCACCGCGACGGGTCGCTCGGCGTACGCCCAGAGCGTCGGGAACGCGAATGTCACGGCTCGCCGACGTGTCCCTTCCGGACACTCCAATCCCAGGTGGTATGTTCGCAGCAGAGACAAGCTACAAACCTCTGCGTCGTGCGTCCTCTTCTCCGACACTGGATTGTTCAGCCGTCCTCGGTGATGGCGGAGATATATTCAGAGGCGCCAGCAGCGGCGAGGCTCTTTCACATGAGTTCAACATGGAGCTGGATGTTGCAGTGTGGGACCTAGAGGTGGAGGAGTACTCGGCTCGTGCAGAAGAGGAGGATTTGCTAGAAGTCGAGCCACGTAACCGATCAGCACGCACAGGTCTGAAGTCGTAGGTCGTTCATCGCATCTTGGGAATCCCGTCTGTTTGTCAGTATACAGTAGCGTGTCACGTTTCTGTGCCATTGTCATGGTGGAGTAGATGTATCCGTTCACGGGCCTGTTCGATGCTGTGGTTTCATGCATTCCGGGAATAGTAGTCAGGTGCAAGGTTTCCTGTCATGTCCTTCTCATCGTCATATAGTACTCGCGCATGGTTCAAATCTCTAACGACGATCTGAGAACCGTTACCAATATCGCAAGGGCCACACTCCAAGTTCTCCTGCGTCTACCACGATTCCTCCTAGTCTTGATCGTGGCCTTCGACCGCAACTACAAGGTGGCCTTCGACCGCACCCACAAGGTAGCCTCGCGCGGAATATTGTCGGATCTACATAGTACTCCAAGAGACAGTCGAGATGGAGGGACTGCAAACAATCGCAAATAACGCGTACAGAACGCGTCCGAGTGCGCGCTCGCTCTCCGACGCGACCGCGTCTCCTCCCTCTTTCCTACATATCATTGTCCCTCTCCCGATTCCTTTGCTGCTGCTCCAGTATACACGGAGACACAAAAACCGAGCCATGGCTTCCGCGACCAAGTCCAATGCGAATGCGGACAAGATGAAGCAGAAGTCTCTCATGTCTTTCTTCGGAAAGAAGGATGGCGTAGACACCAAAGCATCGCCTGCCGCCGACAAGCCAAAGCCAAAGCCTGCGGTAACAGAGACCCCCGCTAAGGCTACGAAGACGAAGCTCCGCGAAAAACTGAATCCTCCCTCGTCGCCTCTATCCACGAAGGAGGTGCATACACCCATGCCCAAGGGCAACTCGCAGTCGTCTGGCATCGTCAGCGCGACGTACACTCGGAGCTCCGAGGGCGGCAGCAGTATTCGCGATACCCCTCCAACAAGCGATCCCATTGACGTGGACATGCTGTCCGACGCGGAGCCTTCTGACGCGCTCCACAGTAGCGTGGCAAAGTCGGTACGTAAACCTGGCCGCGCATATAGTCACGTATGTGCGCTGACCCATGGCATAGACAACAGGTCGTAACAAGCGGAAGATCGTCGCCGCTGACTCGGACGATGACCTTCCTCCGAGCGACCCTGTTCGATACCAGAAGGCAAATGATAGGTCCAAGAAGCCGCGCATGTCCGCCGTGTTTTCGGATGTGGAGGAGGATGAGGAGGCTGCTGAGATGAACTCATTTGCAAAGCGTCTCACCAAGTACCAGAAGTCTCCCACGAAGTCGAAACCGAAAGGTGAGCCTGTCTCATCAGTCTGTCTTTTGCACAGCCGTACCCTAGGAAGCATAGGCACATCGTCACAGTTGTTGGGTAGACTCGTAGGCTTCCCGTAAACTTCGCAAATACCTGTTCATTCCTATCTCCTCCAGGAAACCCTTTCTGACGCTATTAATGTGGTTTCACAGGACGGAAGAAGATGGACGACGACGACGACTTCATAGTCCCAGACAATATCGACGAAGAGGATGACGAAGTAGAAGTGTCTTCCTCCCGGGGCCGCTCTTCCTCGCGTGCCTCCTCCCGCAGGTCGTCCCACTCCTCCGCCCTCTCCGAGCTCGACAGCGAGTTCGACGATGACGACCTGGAAGAGCCCAAATCGAAGTCCAAAGTTAAATCGAAGTCCTCCACGTCAAAGAAGGCCTCCGCTCCAGCACGTCCGCCCATCAAGCAAGAGTCCTCTAACCCAGGTGGGGGCAGCGCCTTCCTCACCGCCGCCGAGCAGCGTGCGCTCAAGCAGAAGTCCGACAAGAAGGCTGCCGAAGATGCGTTCAGCTTTCTTCTCGACGTCCGCGACAAGGACGGCGTGCGTCCGGGGGAGCCGGGGTACGACCCGCGCACGCTGTACATCCCGAAGAGCGCATGGAACGAATTCACCCCGTTCGAGAAGCAATTCTGGGAGATCAAGCAGAACCACTTCGACACGATCTTGTTCTTCCAGAAGGGCAAGTTCTTGGAGCTGTATGAGGAGGATGCGCGGATCGGGCATCAGGAGTTCGATTTGAAGCTGACGCAGAGGGTGAAGATGAGCATGGTTCGTGTGATAGTTTCGCGCGTGTATGCTAGCTGTTTACTCATACGCATACCTAGGTTGGCGTGCCCGAGATGTCGTTCAACTTCTGGGCTGCCAAGTTCCTCGGAAAAGGTACGTTCGCAGAACACTGCTCCTCAAAAGCGCATGGCCTAAGCTCCCCTCTGCAGGCTACAAAGTCGGTCGCGTCGACCAAGCGGAGACCGCGCTCGGTGCCGAGATGCGCCTCGCGGCAGACAAGAAGTCCAAAAAGCCCCCCGCAGCGGACAAGGGCAAGGACAAGATCGTCCGGCGCGAGCTCAATAAGGTGTTCACAAACGGCACGCTCGTCGACGCCGAGCTCCTCACCGACGACCAAGCCGGCCACTGCGTCTCCATCCGCGAGGAAGAGGACGCGGAGAGCAAGGACGGGAAGCAGACGTTCGGGATATGTGTGCTAGACAGTGCGACGAGCGAGTTCAACCTGAGCGCGTTTGAGGACGACATCTGTCGGACGAAGTTGGAGACAATGATGCGGCAGTTGAGGCCGAAGGAGATTATATTTACTAAGGTGCGTTCGTTTGTGTGGTTTAATCGCATCGCACATGTTCTTCAGCAGTTTTCCGATGCCTGCTGTCCGCTAGGGTAACCTCTCCGTGTCGACGACGCGTCTCCTCAAGTCCATCCTCCCCGGCAATTGTCTTTGGACCTCCCTTCGCGACGTCGAAGGGCTCAAGTTTCAAGACACAATCAAAGAGCTCAAGAAGCTCTACCCCGCCTCGGGCGATGACGACGACGAGATGGCTGACAACCCGCATGGGCTCTCTTCCGCGGTCCCCGAGCCTATTCGGCGCATGCTCCCTCACCGCGCCGCGATCGAGGCGTTGGGTTCAATGATCTGGTACCTCAACACGCTCAACATCGACAAGGACATCCTGAGCATGAAGAACTTCAACATCTATGACCCGATGCGTCGTGGACAGGGCCTCGTCCTCGACGGCCAGACCCTCGCACATATTGAGGTGCTTCAGAACAGCGAGGGCACCGAGGAGGGCACGCTCCTCAAGCTTCTTAGCCGGTGCATCACCCCGTCCGGTATGTCGCGTGCTCCCGTGTCACCTACCACATCGTCTTCAACACTTACTCTCGCGTTGGGATCGATGTAGGCAAACGGCTGTTCCGCATCTGGCTCTGTATGCCTTTGCGCGAGGTGAAGGACATCAATGCGCGGCTGGACGCCGTCCAAGACCTGCTCGACCATCCGACTTTCGAGGCTCAGTTCGCTTCGATCGCGAAGGGCCTCCCGGATCTCGAGCGGATCGTGTCTCGGATACATGCAAAGAACTGCAAGGTCAAGGATTTCTTGAAGGTTCTAACGGTGCGTTGCCTTTCCAAAAGCGTTTCGTATTCTGTACTAAAGCCAGGGGTAATGCGTAGGCGTTCAAAAACCTAAGCAAGGGCCTAGCCGAACTTGCAGATACCGCGGACGCGTTTGAGTCAAAGACTATCTCGGGCCTTTTGCGGACGGCGCCGGACTTGGCACCGAATTTGAAGCATGTAAAGTCGATGTTCCAGACACCAGAAGAGAGTACGTCGTCATGATCTAACCTATTCGTGTCGAAATTGTAGAGGCTTATGCTGAGCAGACAGCGACGAGCTGGTCCCTGAGGATGGAATGGACGAGGTCTACGACACTGTGATGTCGGAGATCAACGAGCTAGAGGATGAGCTCAAGGCGGAGCTGAAGACCATCCGCAAGAAGACTGGGTACGTCTTTTCCTGTGTTGCATCCGTCTAGAGTGCTTGGTCTGATTGCTCTTCTTGGGTAGCTTGGACGCGACCTACTGGCATAGCGCACAAGGGACGAAGGAGATATATCTCGTCCAACTTCAGGGCAAGGAGAAAGACAAGGCGCCGAAGGAGTGGACACTCAGCGGCTCGACGAAGGTGTGTTATCCTTCATGACCAGTAGTGCTCATCTTGCCTATACTGACCGAATTGCCTGCCCATTTGCTCAGAACGCGAAGCGTTTCATCATCCCCTCCCTCCAAACCACCATCCGCAAGCTCAAGGAAGCCCGCGAGAACCGCAACACCGCCATCAAGGACTTCAAAAATCGGTTGTTCGCTGAGTTCGACGCCGACCGTTCTGTCTGGCTGCGTGCGATCCGCGTGCTTTCCGAGCTCGACTGCCTCTTCAGCCTCGCCAAGGCGTCGAGCGCGCTGGGCGAACCTGCGTGTCGACCAGAACTGGTCGAGGGCGATGAGGCGTTTATTGACTTCACCGAGCTCAGACACCCCGCATTGGTTGCTGGCTCATCGCTCAGGGGTGACTTCATCCCGAATGACGTAAAGCTGGGTGGGGATGTTGGTAGGATTGCGTTGTTGACTGGTCAGTCATGGGTGGTGTTCTTGCCTTGATCTTGGCTGATGGTTGCGCGCGTAGGACCGAACATGGGAGGAAAGTCGACTGTGAGTCCTGCTTGTTTTTGGTCTTGCGACGCAGTCGCTGACTCACGCTTTTAGGCTATGCGTATGACCGCAACTGGCATTGTGAGCTGCCTACAACGTATCACGGACGTTTTTAGTCCTCATCACATCCTCAGATCATGGCCCAACTTGGTATGCTCGTCCCCGCCAAAAGGGCTCGGTATGTTATGGTTCATACTCATAGCTGCACTCGCATTGATCACTGGCCTCTGTAGCCTATGTCCAGTGGACTCTATTTTGACCCGTATGGGCGCGTACGATAACATGTTCTCCAACGCCAGTACCTTCAAGGTCGAGCTCGATGAATGGTACGGAAACGACCTGCTTGATTCTCGCAATGCATTGCTGAACCTCTGCCATTAGCTGCAAAATCCTCCGCGACGCTACGCCGAAGTCGTTCGTCATTTTGGATGAGCTCGGACGCGGGACATCGACATACGTAAGTTCGGCGAGGCAATGCGGATCGGAACACTTGCTCATATCAATGTATGTAGGATGGTATGGCCATCGCCGGTGCGGTCCTGCACCAGCTCGCGACGCACACCCTCTCACTCTCGTTCTTCGCCACTCACTATGGCTCCCTGACCGACGACTATGCGTACCACCCCAACGTGCGTAACATGCACATGGAGACCCTCGTCGACGATGAGAAGCGGGAACTTGTCTTCCTCTACAAGCTCGTTGACGGTGCCGCTGGCTCCTCGTTCGGCACTCATGTTGCCAATCTCGCCGGCGTACCTCTCGAGGTCGTCGAGCGTGCTGAAGTGGTTTCGAAAGACTTTGCGAAGCACTTCAAGGAGAAGCTTGAGGGGAAGAAGACCAAGGTCTCTGGCCGCCTCCCTCTCGTTGCCCAAGCAGACTTTGCGTATCTCTTCAAGCTTGCCACAGGCGCCCTAGAGTTGCCGGAAGATAAGGTCAGGAGGCGGGAGGTACTGAAGACGCTGAAAGGTGCAGTGATAGGTGCACTACAAGAGACTCTTGTTGCCGCTTGAGCAGAGGAGGACGTCGTTGCTGATCTAGACTCGCTATCGTATCGCTGCTTTGCTGATTGCTCTGTGTATAGCTTATATCATCATACGTCATCACTCTAGCTACTATATTGCCGCTTTGTAATGCATCAGACTCGTTGACTGCCCACAGACGAGGATATCACGTCGTCGAAAGAATTGGCAACCTCATCTCCAGTTATTTCACGTGCGATACTTGACAAGATGCGCACACTTCAGTGGTTTTGTCGTATCAATTCAGTCATCGTGTTCAACAGCATAGCTAGACGCAGTGCCAAGCTCGTCGTGCAAAGTCCTGAGACTACGGTAAGCGTCGCGAGTTCATGCCGCTTGATTGATTCTCAGGCCAATGCGCATACATTGCGCCGCTACCGCTCTCAGTCGATTGCACCGGGATGAGGAATACACATCGCTGTGTTGATTCGTCAACAGGCTGTCGCATCGTTCCGTACAGCTCCCCATTGTCGAACAGAATATTAAACGCTTTGCCCAACGTAACCTTGTCCTCATGCGGTCTATCGACGTCAACCGCCCACGTTGTCAGCTTGCCACGATAGCCACTTGAGCAGGATAAAGCGGAGCCTGTCAACACTGAGAAATCAGATCATGTTTGATTGATCCTTGATGCGGAAGTCGTAGAAGAGGATACCTCGGAATGGGGCATGCAAGACAATTTGTTCGTTCACACAAAATTGGCACGAGGCAATCTTCCTGAGTGTTACCGGCTGGATTGTCTTTGAGCCCACGAGTGTTACCCAGCCACTATGAGACTGGGAGAAGCGCAAGCGGATCTCTTCACTGAACGCCGTAATGAGAGGCGCCCCACTCCATCGATGTGCGAAGTCTTCAGTGATCTTGGAGACTCTGGTGGCTCACTCGAACGTCTGTCGTGAGACCAAGCCATCCTGCAGCAGCAGGAGGCCTAACCCCTGATACTCACTTGTGGTTAGTGGGTCCAATCTATACAAAGGAAGGCTCCACCGTGGGCCGCACTCGGTGACAAGGTCGGAACCAATCACAAAGCTCGCGGGATCGGAAGACGGCGTAACACGGAGACACAACTCGCCTGCGAGCGATGGGCCGGGAGTAGGGATGTGGTGGTATCAGAATCCCCATGCGCTGGGTGGAATTTGTCAGAGCTCCAGCCAGCAGGCAAGATATGTACAATGCCCTTCGTAGGGGTGGCGCCGTCCACAATCGATAGCACGATGGCAAGGAGGGCCCACAACAAGAGCTGAGGTCGAGGTAGTCATTGGTAGTGAGCTCGGTTGGGTCGAGCGTCCGTATCACGCGTCGACTCGGCCTCCCCAGACCCCTAGGCCTTTCGGTGCTCATAAGATGCGTCAGTGGTCTGGTGTCCGAGGCCTCTCGGTGAGTTGTAGTCGATGAAACTGTGCGCGAGGGAAAGTAGTCGACAATATCTGCTCTTGAGAACCTCTGGAGCTTGCGGAGCATTCATACGAACGCCTTACGAGCCTCGATGACTTGGCAAAGGCCCGTGAGCTGAACTGAAGGTTGCCTGAAGGTTGCCATGGACATCTGTACTGGTAGTTGATGTGAGTACACAACACGAGCCGGGCTAGTACAGCTGGGATGATCATGATACGGCGATTGCTCACCTGCTCGGGACATTACTGTTATTGACCGCGGATGGACCAAGAGAGGAACCATCCTGTGTGTTCACAATCCGAGTCGAATCCGGATTCCGGCGGCTTGAACTTGGGCGTGAGAAGCGATCAGCCTATGTTCAGATCGAGATCAGCGCTCAAACATAGTACACGTCTCGTGGTTGTCCTCATGCACATTGACCTATTACTCACCCGCCTCAGGACCATATATCATGATAGCACCAAACACCACTGAGATCGGAGAGATCAAGTACGCCGTGCGCCCACCATTGTGACGACTATGTTGCTTGCGGGCTTGCGTGCACCGGCAGCCACTGTCATTTCGGGCCAGCTCGCCGCCTGGCACGTCATGGCCCCAACCTGGCTATTGTGGTACGTCCCATCCCTCATTCCTGTCCTGCGATGATATCAGAATGTCGTGAACAGTGCAAGATGATACTGTACCGGCTGAACCTCATGTTATCGGCTCATTCATGAGCATGTCACCCGTCTGCGCAACATCTGGTGTGAAGTAGACCAGGACTTGGTGCAGACAGTCGAGGTGCCATCAGTACCTCCTATGTGATATCAGAACATCCATTTTCCCATGATGGTGCTCTGTCCGATAAGCTTTCAACAGGGAATGCGCGGACAATGGGGCGGCACATTCATAGTAATGTACCACCCTCAGTAGGCGGCTCAAATGCGGTTCTATAGGCCTAATCCAGCAGTCTAACTACCCACACTTCGGGAGCAAAGAGGGCAACGTGATGAATTCTGATTGCAGGGATGCCTCATATCATGTTGGCGGAGCCTCCGTCTCCACCGTGTAATCCTCCAACTCCCGCTACAACCACGTATACGCGAGAACGCATACTCATCCGCGACGCGCGCTCGTGATGTTTGATGCTCGCTTAGACTTTGCGCTGTTTCTTCTTTCAGGACTGGTCGGGGCAGCTATGCTTGCGCTATCGGGGTGGAAGCGCCGCGGTCCATCTCGGCTCCCACTTCCTCCAGGGCCAAGGCCCCTCCCTATCATCGGTAACTTGCTTGACATGCCCTCCGAGAACCTGGTGACTTCACTTCACAGAATGAGCAAGCATTACGGTGGGTCACCAGTCAGCGAGTCAACATCTCTCAGCTAGCTGAATCCGGTCAACAGGGGAGGTGATGCACCTCGACGTCTTCGGGGAACCTACAATAATCATCGACTCGTATGAAGCCGCAATCGCGATCTTGGAAACCAGCTCCGCGAGCACCTCAGATAGGCCGCGATTTGTTATGGCAGAATTGTGAGTGCACCTCTCCAGGCATTCTCTATCAGTCTGACGTCTGGGCGATGTGAGGGTCGGCCTCGGATACGAGTTTGCCCTCATGAAATATTCAGACGCATGGAGGCAACGCCGCCGGATATTCCACAGTTTCTTTCATCAAGGCGTGGTCTCTCAGTACAGACCCGTTCGTCTGCGCGAAGTGCGACGACTCCTGGGCAAGCTACTTGATGAACCAGAGAAGTTTCTCCATCATAGTCGACAGTATGTATAGCCTATTCAATGTCATCTAAGGGACATCGCTAACAATACACCCTAGCTACATCGGCGGTACCATCATGAGCGCTGTGTACGGGATTGAGATCAAAGACCAGAACGACAAGTTTATAGCTATCGCAGAGAAAGGGGGAGAGATATTCAGCGACGTGATGGTACCCGGTCGATACCTAGTTGAGTTGTTCCCACTACTAGCCCGCATTCCTGCGTGGTTTCCTGGTGCCATTTTCAAGAGGAAGGCTGCACGTTGGGAGCGGGATATCCATGATGTCAGGACGGCTGCGTACAACGCTGCTAGTGAAGCGATAGTAAGTACTTCTGGCAACAATCAGTCATGATGTATTGACCGTATGCCAGGCGCGAGGCGACGCGGGACTGTCTATGACATCGTCTCTCGTAGACAAGTCCATTCGTGAACATGGCAGCGTCTCGGCTGAGGACGAGGAGATCTTCAAGGATGTCACCGGTGTTGCTTATGCTGGTGAGCAATTCCTCTTGCAGTCTTTCCGTAGCCGCCGTCATTGACCAGATGATCTCGCTAGCGGGAGCGGATACGGCTAGTGTCTCCCTGTATACGTTTACCTCAGCGCGTCGTTCTCATATGTCGCCACTAGACAATTGCTACCCTGACAGCATTCTTTCTTGCAATGGTCGCATATCCCGATGTTCAGCGCAAGGCCCAAGCAGAGCTTGACGAGATTGTGGGCCAGGATCAGCTTCCCGACTTTAGCCACCAAAAGTCTCTCCCGTATGTCAACGCCGTCATGAAGGAGTGCTCTCGATGGCATACCGTGATGCCGCTTCTCGTTCCTCACCGGTCAATAAAGGACGTCGAATACAACGGCTACCTTATACCCGCAGGCTCAGTTCTCATTCCGAATGCCTGGTAAGAATTTGGAAATTCTTCCAATATGATTCGTCTGATTCTGCGGTCTATAGGTCGATGTCGCGCGACCCCGTTGCGTACCCTGACCCTGATAGGTTCATGCCAGAACGCTACCTCAAGGGAGGCAAGATGGACCCAGAGGCGAGGGACCCACTGAAATTCCAGTTCGGCTTTGGGCGTAGGTGAGTGTGCCCATCACCACATTGACTCCATATCGACATATAGCACTCGTCGTAGGATATGTCCGGGAATGCCATTCTCCCAGGACTCCTTGTTTCTTGCCATAGCGTCTGTTTTGCACGCCTACAACATCCGTCCGCCTGCAAGCGTAAATGATTCGTCAGATCTGATCCGGCTTGGGCCGAAGATGCCATCAGGCGGCGCCCTTTCGTACGTAGCGGAAGTCCCTTCATGATAGTCGAGTTCTCATAGCTACTGCAGATATCCAGATCCGTTCGGATGCAGCATTACTCCTCGTTCTGAGCTTGCTGCAAGCATCATCCAACAGTCGCGCTTCTGAACTTATTCATAAGGGGTGAGTTGCCTCTCCCAATTGTTGGAGCATTGCGGGATGCCTGGACGAACTTGAAGGTGGTGCCATCGAATTCAGGACATGCTACTGTGTGGTCTTCGACTGTAGCTTGGTCTTTTGACTGTGGTACGATAGACATCCGCTAAGCCATGCCGTGTATTCACTTAGTTTGAAACGAGTGTTGAATTCCGGATCTGGATTTTAATGAAGATGATGTTCTATCCCTCAAGGGGTTCTGCAACGCCAGGAATTATGGCGCCTGCCTCTCCAGCAGTAGTGATCTATGTATCCCACAAACTTCAGGCATTGTTGAGACTAATATCTATCATATGTCCTCCAATTTTCGTAAGATTCTGTGGAGCTGAACGCGAGCTATGGGGATGCCATGTTCCGAGCACCTACATGAAAGGGGTTTTGCAAAACCCATAAGCGCCTGCAAGAAACGGCTTCCCTAGGATGTCTACCCATCTTCGGAGCTATCGGGGATGATTTCGGTATAAAAAATGCACCCATACATTCATACAGAAAGATATTTGAGCTTTCTCAGTGAGAGACAAAGAGAGATCTGTGTATCAAGTTGGACGTCAACTCGCTTAGAGGTGTAACTAAATGTCTCCTGCTCGCAAAGGCGTCCTCCAGCTCATTTGGCTCCAAAAAGTTGACAGATGATATCAAAATGGGTGTAGTATTATGTATTTGAGATATCAGAGCGATGCATTAGGAGGGGAGGGAGAGCTTGGGGTTTTGCAAAACTCCCAGATTTTGCAAAACCCCTTGAGGGATAGTTGGGGCGCTGCGAGAATCACAGATCAATAGTCCGTGCACTATGCCATAATTGGGAGATTGCTTATCGGAGTCTGACTCGTGTTCCCACGCATCCTTCCGCATTGGGAACTCGTTTAAGAACACGTTCTACGTCAACCTTCTCCTACTCAGCGGTGTCCTGCTTCGTGTTTAAAGGGCATCTTGCCTTGTGGTGGATGATCATTACAGCCAGGTGCTAGGAACGTCGTTCTTTGTTAGAGCCTCAGATAACAACATCTGACATCACCCGAACAGGTTTGGACTGCTTGTCGGAAGGTTTGCGGGCAAGAACACAGCGCCGGGATCCTAGCCTCGTCTTTTTTGCGGAGGTCTTGTCCTGTTGTTCGACGACTTCCTTATAAGGAGAGGCCTCCTTTAGTATTGACGTAGGTTCCCCATCACCTCTGCTCTCTCATGTCCTCCGATTTTGACGAGTTGTCCATTCATATACCCTCCGACAGTGGCGAATCCCCGCCACTGTCTGAGGCTCAGCCCCCGATACCTGGCAGTGCTCTGCGGAGGAGGAAGACCCTTGTGTCTCATCCGCCTCCCTCCCCACACACGCCTCCTCGCAAGGAGCCACGCCGTCCAGTCCGAGACAACTTCGAGCAGCCGTCACAGAAGATCGATCCTCTGAACCTCAATCTCCACATTCCCAACCCGTTGTCCAACAAGGAACTCCTTCCCGATTTCATTGCTCCTGCAGAAACTATGAATCGGTGGCACCAGCTCCACATAGGCAACTGGATGGCCAAGTTCGCCCCTCCCAGCGAACCGCTATCCGAGGAGATCAGTACACGACTACGACAGCTCACCGATGAGACGTACAAGAAGAACAATATCAGGTCGTTCAAAGATATCCGTATTGAGTCCGACATGCACAAACCATTTGTACGTAACTCAACATCATCACCCGGGTCCCGTTGACCGATAATTCGCCCGTAGACCGGTCTCATACAGGCGATTTTGACAGAGTTCGAGTCGAAAGACATCGTAGCTCTGGATACATCCGTTCACGAAGACGACGACAATAAGAAAACGACGATTCCCGACGGCGGCATTTACCGCGCCAGCAACGAGGCGCGGCGTGCCACCAAGCTCCTCCCCGCTCGCCTGAGGAACAGAGAGATGCAGCCTGAGCCGAAGGAGGAGCGCCTCGACCAGGCCGTGCGACGCTCTTGGCACTGGGTGAACACGATCATCGAGGGGAAGGGGAGTCCTGATCGGTGCGCTTTTGACTTTAGAAGGCACAGAGAAGCCTTCCTTCGTGAGTCGGAGGAGGGTAGGGCCGCGCTCGAACAGCTTGCCGAGTATATGGCTCACGTGTTCAAATACCAACATCGCACTTTCGCCTACGCCATCTACTTCTTCCGTAACAAGGCCCGTCTCATATACTTCGATCGCACCGGCGCCGCTGTCTCCGATTGGTGCGATTTTGAGAAGGATCTCTACCTGCAGGAGTTCGTGTACAGGCTCGCAAAGGCTGGAGACGCAGAGCGCGGATACGATCCCACGGCCACGCTTATGTCCCCCGATTCGCAGGAGGTGCAGGACTTCCTCGGTTGGGACAATGCCAAGCTTCCGCTATTCCGACAGTGGGTCAAGCAAGCTACTGAGAGGTCCTGTCCCATCTACAAGCTGGAGGTCACATCGGAGACGCGAGACGCTTCCGGAGAGGTGCATACAGCGCGTCGCTACTTCCTCGTCGGTCGTCCTCACGCTTGCGGCGAGGCACTGGTCGGTCGTTGCACTCGGGGATACATCGCGTTCAACCTCGCTGAGAAGACTCTGTGCTTCCTGAAGGACTCGTGGCGTGCCGTCGTCCCCGGTCGTACTCGCCCAGAGCATGAAGTATACCAGCGTCTGTACGCGAGACTCAAAGCTTCAGGCTGTTCCACAGACGGCTTACCTACTTTGCTCTGCGGTGGCGACGTCGGTGGTCATGAGGCCCAGAAGACTCGCGTGCATTCGGAAATCACGCAAGCGCAGCCTGTCCCTCGAGCCCACCATCGCTTGGTCCTATGTGAAGTAGGTCTTCCCCTGGAAAAGTTCGGCGACTTTCACAGTCTCGTACAGTTAATGAGACAAGCTGTTGACAGTAAGTACTCTACCGTGCTCTCGTGAAACCTATACTGATGGGTGATGATCCAGCGCATGCCGACGCCTGGAAGCATGCGGGCGTCCTTCACCGTGATATCAGCGTCTCGAACATTCTTATCAAGTATGATATGGAACGTGGTCGAGCTGTGGGTTCGATGCTTTGCGACTGGGATCTCAGCAAGTATAAGGAGGAGTTGGTGTTGGAACCGACTCAACCGGACCGCACTGTGAGTCGATTGCTACTACCTCATCGACTTCAGTCCTAATTTCACCACCTAGGGAACGTGGGCGTTCAAGTCCGCTCTATCCCTACTTTTCCCTTGGAAACGATACGAACTGTCCGACGACATCGAATCCTTCGTGCACGTTTTACATTATCTCATCCTCAGGTATCATCGTACCGACCTCGCCCCGACTCTCGAGACTTTCTTCAACGACTACTTCGGGTTTCACAGGGTCCATGGTGACATCCAATATGGTGGTTTTATGAAATGGCGCCTTTTCGATCACGACGCCGTCAAAACTCCGTACCGCGTCGTGTCCGACCATCCTCTGCAAAGCCTTGTGAATGGCCTAGCTGTCTTGTGCCACAACCAATATCAGCTCAAGCGCCCATTCGTCGAAGAAATGACTGCGGAATACGAGCATCCCTTCCTGGCGGGGCCGGACCCTGTTTCACCTTCCGCCAGCGGAGGCGTCTCTCTGGATTACTTGGGGCGCTACGAAAAGCTTGAGGAGAATCCAGGGACGGGTGTCCAGGCGTTGTCTTCCCAACCCGCCTCAGTGTCGTCACCGAGTAGCTCCCCCGGGGGGAATTTGGAGACGCATAAGGACCTCATCCTGCTGCTGGGGCGTGTCAACAGTCTCTATCTGAGATTGTCGGCGTCCGCTGCAAAGAGCGATCAACAAAGGGACCAGTTCGATTTCCAGCGTCGCGAGAGCAACACATCGAAATTCAAGTCGAATTTCTCGACGTCCGAGCACTTCGATCTGGCGCCATCTGGACCTTCCAGTGCCTCGAAACGCGTTCGCAAAGGTGTGCGAGGTACCACGGGAAAGCAACGCAAGCGGAGAAAGGGTGGTGATGCCCGGGACGACGATAACTCATCAGGCCGCGACAGTGGTGCGTCAGGCTCGGGGGAGGACGAGTGATGGTTAGGCACCTTGCACACGCTATCTTCGTTCATGTATGCATATGGTAGAGATTTCAGCAATCGTGATCACCAGTCGAGGTCTCAAGTCTGCATCCCTGCTTACTTTTCGCTTCCCGCGACAAAGTACAACGGCAGCAGCATGTCGAGACTGTTGTCTCCGTCTGTCGCTTTTGTTGATTGCTTTGGCTCTACACGGATGTCGACTCGCGAGAAGGATGTCTGCGGGACACTCCGGTACGGAGTTCTGGTTACCATGTTCCTCAGCGCGACACTGGCAAGGACGATCGGATTCATTGATTGACACCATCGTGACCTGTTGTACAAGTGATTCGTCGCGGCTGCGTAGAGAGAGAGTTGATGTGGGCGTACAGTGATCAACGCCTCAGGTTGCGAAACAACACCCAATCAGTCCATCCTCCATTACGATTACCGGAGCATCTTCTCTGAAGGCACATAGCTTATTCAATATGGTACTAACCCGGTCCTCTGCAATGGTTTCCCAGCTGATCCACGCCCACAGACATTGCCCTTCGCCTTACTTTGCCTTTCGTCTTGCTGCTAAGCCATCCTAGACCGTGTGAAACTGCTCCCTCACGCAGAATGTTATCTGCCTGAAATGCATTACCAGAAAAACAAATCGCAGCCCCCGACTGATTCTCCTGTCTTCGTTAGTCTGATTATACAATTGTTCGACTCGTGTAGGCAGAAGCTATTTAGTTCAGCTCAATCCCGTGGAACTGCTCGCAGTATCTTCTATCGTACGTCGCTCTTGAAGAGTATCATGGAATCGCGAGGTGGGGGAAGAACATCTGCATGTCCAAGACGCGGCACATTCAGGTCGCAGAGGACTAGTGAAGTTCGGACGAGGACCTACCGCCGCGATACATCGGCCTGTGGGACTGGCATAGAGATTGACGTCCATCCCGAATCTACGGGTTTAGTCCGATCCCAGCACACGATACGACGGTTGTTGCGTCATCGCAGTGTTCAGATAAATAGTATGACGGCTCGTCAACGAGTAGGCTGCATCCCTTCGTCAACGGAACAGACCCTCGACAAACCCTTCCGTACTTGCCCCAGTCGGATGATATCCGGAAATACTATCAAGCTGCACTACGCATTGTCCGCGGCGTATAGCTGAAACTCCCACGGGAGGCGCTGCTGCGGGCCGCCTTCGTTGAACCAGATCCTGCGCAGACGACAGGTCGCGTATACCTTCACGTACGAGACATGTGACAGAGTTCCGCTGGGCACCTGTGTCCTCCCTCCGTTGTGGTTGTTAGCAGGAGAGAACGGAGATGGCTCCTCGTCATCCTCATCCGCGCGAGCGAGGGCACCAGACGAGAAATGGGGGAGGAGAGATGGCAAGTTCAGTGAAGTCGTGGACCATGATGTCAGGGGACGTGAAGAGGACGGTGGAAACGAAAGCGGGAGTAGGAGGAGGGGCAGAACCCCTAGCTTTAGCTTCGGTTGTTTCTGTGCAACCAGAGTGGAACAAGTCAGTGAACGAACAAGAAGCAGACAGAGATGCTAACCAGAAGCCCGCCAATCCTGTCGAGTCACGGCTTGCAGTACTTTACCAGTCATTCCCACAACACAGACCGCGACAAAGGTGCCATGACACTCAGTCGGATGACAGAATGAGTTCATCCGAGACACGGTGTCTCTCCAGTAGCCAAGGACGTAATATGATTGAGGGGAAGAACGTCGCACCTGGAACGTGGAGCACCGCACGACTCCTTCTCGACCAGATCGATCCACCACCCCGACCTCGAAAGCCCACTCTCTACCCATGTTCCGAACCTGCAAGTGCATCCAAGCATGCTTCAGGCCCAGATACGCCCTGCTGCCCGCTTTCCCCGGCGCGGCCGGGGCTGCCGGTGGACATCGTATGTATGTCGTACGCAGCGTTGGGGATTGTAAGTGCAAGACGGTTTGGTCAAGGGTGTAGTTTGGTGATTGGGCTGTATCGTCCTCTAAGCCTGTCGCCGTGATTAGAGTCTGAGGCGGCGGAGGGACCGGCTGGGAGGTCGTATCGTTCAGCAGGCAAATGACTGAGTCGGCAGGGAGGGTGCTGTCCGTGTGGGTCTGGAAAAGACCGAGAGGGTCACTCCCGGTGGATGAAAACAAAGAGACGAGGCTAGGCTGGACAGACGATGAGAACATGGTGGACGTCGTGGACAGAGACAAGCAACGCGCGTCAACAGCAATACAGCGGTTTTCGAATGACTTGTCGTTTGCTGTAAGCGCCGACGCGAGCGCGCACCTGCGTCCGACCCCCACTGATGCCTCCTTCGACCGACGATATCTCCTCGTCCCTTCCACCAATTAACTCGCTTCTTTCAGTAGATCACGTATGGAGCTTATCTTCACACGTTGATGTCAGTCTTGTCGCTAAACGTGCCACCCATATCGCGCCAGCCCCATATTGCATCTCGTGCACTCGCCTCTCAGTCCAGACTCTATTACACACTGAACAACGTGGTGGACTCCTCCGGAAACCATCGGAAAGGGTAAAGTTGAGTACTATCGAGGGTATGATGCAAGAGGTTTGTGATTCTCGGAGTGGTGACGTTGTGTATGGGGGCGGCTGGGAGGTAGCGTCTTGGGCGACATCGGAGGTTCTCTTTGGGCGATAGCAGACAGTGTCATTTGTGAGTAATATATACTATGGGAGCTCTAGCGATCTTGCGGGGTATTTGGGAGCAAGTATCATCGCTGTAGGACTGCAGGAAGGGTCGCTGGGCGATTCATATAATGGATAACTACACGCGACTGACATTGATGACGGTTCATCGACCTGAGTTTCTACATAGGTACGTGCTCGTCCAGTGAGAGTCTCCGGTTAGTCAACTCATCCCATAGGTTGTTATGATATTGATGCTGATCTCTCCAGGTCCCAGGATAGCACTACCCAGCAAGAACATAGATACAGGACTGTACACCGACGTGCTGTGTTATTGATTGATCCGGAGTACCAACTTGACTCTGTCGAGAACTAGTCCTTCCCATTTATGAACCTTTGTATCTATTCGTCATCCTCTTGATCAGTACAGTTGCTCGGGCCCATAAACTAATCGCGACAATTGAGCAGTACCAGATGTCTCACCATCCATAGGCTTGAATATTGTAGCTACGCTGCGAGCAGTCCACTGCACTCGACGCTCTACTATCCACGGACCTACTATCGACGCAGGATGTAATTACTGATGTACAGTGTCCCTATTACACCGGTGCAAAGGCCCGGTTGGATCTAGCGTATAGTCGTATCACTAGTATACAAGTCATAAAGTGTCAGAACGCCATAATCATCAGTCACACGCACTCTATCGCGGTGTCGTGTTCAAGGTGCGACCTCCGCAGCGCCCCCTTCTGCCCTAGTCTGCTTCTCGGGATCTATCGACTCCGTTTGCACCTTCGTTTCATGATGGAGGCCATACGTCTCGTCCACCTGCCCCTGCATCGGCACCTCCTTCATCAACCCAACCGACAGCAGGCCCACACCGCTGATGCCAATCATCGTCTGCCACACGACCTTCAGGCTCGCCGCGAACGCGTCGCGCACCTGCGAGCGCAGCGGCTCCGCCAGGCCTCCGATAACGGGTATCGCTGCGTACGCGATCTGCACGCCCGCAGGGAACTGTGCATCGAACTGCGGCGGAAGCGTTTTGTCGAGCTGGTTCTGGAGGATGGCAGAGCCGATGGTGATTCCCCACGTCTGCGCAAACGTGCGCGCGAAGGAGAAGAACGCGAGCGCCGATGCGTTTCTGGATACGGGCAGGGGCGCGAGGACGGGGAACACCGTCGCGGGGAACTGAGTGGACGAGTATATACCGTCAGTGTCCTGTAGGGAATGCGAGGGGAGGGGGAGAAACGCACCAAAAGCCCGAGCCCAGCAGAAGCGACGATCTGGTATCCTACCCATTTGCCCGTCGAGGTGCCCGCCTTGAGCGTCGAGAGCAGGCCGAAACCGATCAATAGAAGGCACCAGGCGGTCACGTTTGCCCACCGATACCTCTGAGTGAGCTGGACGGATGTACCAGCGATGAAGGCGAAGGGAGCAATGATGAGAGTCACAGGAAGTGTCTGGACACTAGAGTGGATGGGAGATGCGCCCTTGCATGCTTGGAAGTAGACAGGGATGTAATCTACAGGCAATAATGGATTAGCATGAGCGTGTAGAGGGAAGAACCGCGTGCCTACAAAATACAGCTGTGGACGTGATGCCGTGAAAGAAAGTGCCGAGATACCTGGAACGGAAATCAATATTGTGGAGGTATAGTCGAGATTCGGAGGTACATACGCAGATACAGATGTCCTGTTGCTGACAACGTCCCAAGGAATGCTGGCCTCCTTCGGCACGAGCCACTCGTAGACGAAGAACAGGCCGATGAATACGAAGCCAATGACGAGGGTGGCTAGTGTGTGCGCGTCGCTCCATTTGTACGCCACGCCTCCCCACGTCAACCCAATGAGAGCAAGTGTCGTGCCGATTATGATGATCAAATTTCCGCTGCATCAAACACGATCAGGTTGGTGTTGCCCAGGGGAACATGCAGGGCACGTACGCAACGTCCAGACGCGCGAGCTTTTCACGCACAGAGCCCGGGGGTGTACGAACTCGGAGGAAGAATAGCACGAGGAAGAATGCGATCCCAATGAGTGGTAGATTGAGATCTGCAAACCGGTCAGCAAAGTCCTAATCGGAAGCCTCGGATTCATATCACTTACAGAAGATCCAACGCCAGGCGTTCGCCTGGGACAGAGCACCACCCTAACAGATGACCCAGTCAGTAAAGGTCGTACGCACCACTCGGTGTGACTCACGATTGGGGGACCGACACCGGAAGCAAGTGCCCAGACACCAGAGAAGATTCCCATAAACATTCCCCGCTCCGCTAGTGGAACGAGGTCGGACACAATAATTTCCGAAAGATTGAGGATGCCTCCACTGCCTATCCCTTGTACCGCTGCGCAAGGACACGTTAGAGTCTATTGATCTATTGCACGGAGGAGGAAACTCACTCCTCCCAGCGATGAGCATGTTCATATTTTGTGCTGCTCCAGACACCGCGCTCCCGACCAAGAAGAGCCCAACGGAGGCGAGCATGACTGGACGACGGCCGAAGGCATCTGCCAAGCGGCCGGACAGGGGTAGAATAGCGGCACTGGCAAGACCGTAGGCAGCTCCTACCCAGACGAACTTGTCTCCGCCTGCGAGGGAGTCGGTGATGGTCGGGAGGGCGGTGGAGATTGCGGTGAGATCAAGTGCGCTAACGAAGGTGCAAACGAGGATGGCGGTGAAGGAAAGCCAGAATGCAGAGCCTTTGCGAAATCCAGTGTTCTGTGGTTCGGTGTTCACGGTAGCCTCAGAACCGGTTGGTATGCGGCTCAAAGCCACGTCCGTTGGGGATGTAGTGGACATTGAGAAGGGCCAGAGCTAGTCACGAACGACGAGGGAAAGGATAGCAATGCTCAGAGGCGACAGTGAACGACTGACTCTCTACTGAGTATAAAAGGCGAGTGCTCAGGATAAAAAGCATGTCATAAACATACGCAACCTGTTCGGCACGAACGTATGGATGAATCATACACCAATAAGCGTTCCTGTGGCTGGCTGCGTACGAGAATGTGGGTGTGCACTTTTTACGGCAACGAATGATTCCGAGATGGGAGATACCCAGGTACGCGCAGCCGCCGAGGCTTGCGCGTCCAGTAGCACTGCCACAAGAGGGGCTCTGGAATCGGAATCGCAGCCTGCCAAGTTATCGCGTCACCCCTCGGCCGCTGCGTCGTCAAAGACGGACATCATCAAGCGGTGATCGCATGTGAGCGCGTGGCATATGCAGACTCAGCCTAGGTAACCCTTGCCAACTCTGTGCACTATGAGTCCGCTCAGACATGCCTTGGTTGTATGTACTGTCGACGTCAAATTGGTCAACGGGCCGCGTAAGTATCGGCGACCTTGTTGTTTCAGACCGCGTCCCGATATGGCAGATCAGACGCCTGATCGCGCCAATTGATCCGAGTCGACGACGCTCCGATCTTACAAATGCCCGGGCCCGTGATTGCATCCGAATCTGAGTACAGTCGACACCCTCTTAACCCATAGCCCTCGGGACAGGCCCGAGTATATGGGTTTTGAGGGGTTATGGGCTGCGAGAACTTAAGCGCCTCATAAGCGCCCCTGATTAGTCCCAGTTAGCGAGCGCTGGAAAGGCGTCTACTGACCCTTTGAGAGAGCGCTATGAGATTTCGAACAGACTCACCTACCCACAACGTGGTCGGAGCATGGATGGACACTGGGAGGACTCTGGGAAGCATGCATCGAGTATTGCAAAGGTTATCGATGAGCGTAATCTCAATGTGAGCCCTATTACCGTATGGGTTTTGGGCCCTAGAAAGCTATGGGTTATTGGGTACCAGGGGCCTATGGGTTATGGGGTCGAATTCCCCCTATCCCGACTTGGGAAAGCCAAAATCTTATGGGTTTCGGGAGTTTATGGGTTACCAGGGGTATGGGTTAGGAGGGTGTCGACTGTACTGGACGTCCTGCCTTCCTCCGATGGACTCGGAAGAAAGTGTTCCTCCTGTTGATCGAAACAAAAAGCGCTTCGTATAAGAGA